GCTACTTACGCACCGGCAGAACGATTGGAAGACTTGAAACCTTGGCAACTTTGGGAGCAGTTCAACTGCAAGTTCCGAGCGTTGAAATCGGAAGCTTTCTCTCAGAAGGAACCTGTATTATGGACGGATATACATTATGGAGCACGGTTTGGCGATGGATGCAAGCGCCACGTTATTGAGCGGCAATTGACGTATGCGCTTGCTGACAAGCGGATGCCAACGAAGACCAAAGGATTCAAGGAAGGAAGGTGCTCTTGCGGTAATGATCGTGGGAAGTGCTTTCTGTATCAGCCTGCAGACGGGTCTCCGTCTGTAGATGCATTTTTGTGTCTGGAAGATGCGACGAAGGGCTTCTTTCACGAGGTTCATCAGTGTAAATGCGTCGAAGGAAAGTTATCACTGGACGTTTTCGAGCAAGAACGGTCGAAGGCTGCAGGTCCCGACGACTTATTCATCATGTATTGCACGAGTCAAGTGACGGCTGACCTACGTATACTGCCAAATTCCGCGTTTGTCGATGCCACCTGCTGGGAAGCGTACTACGGCCCATTTGCTGCTCGTGCATTTTTCATCAAGTCTGTTCCTTTACCGTGCATCAACACAAGCTCCCAGGTCCAGCTGGAGTTCGTGGAGGGTGTGGACCCACGCTACTGTGCCCGAATAGCAAAGAAGCGTCCATTCGCCAGCCTGGAAGATGCTCTTATGAAGACAAAGATTCCAGCCAAGGTTCTTAAACGATTCAATTTCAACACGGATTCGCGCTAGCCCTATCGTGGGCATGGGCTGATACTTCCTTTTCAAGAGAAAATATATCTCCTCTTTCTCTCTTCTACGCATGATCATCGATCGCACAAAGGTGGTGGTTGATTCACCGCCTACACCGCTGTTGAACCATTTTTCGCTAGGCACGTCTTTGCTGTCAGCAGAATCTTAAAGAAGTCATTAAGATCTGTGAATGCATGGCCGAAACGCGAGAAAAAAGGAGAGGAAGAAAACTGAAAACTTGGAAAATTGAAAAGTGTATTTTAGGTTTGGCAAAAACAAAAGGAGTGCCGAGCCAGTCATTCTGGCAAGGATCAATGCATGATTTTCTGTATTTAATAACCAGTTCAAGACTGTTGTGGAGTCAATTTTGACAAGATCGTGGGCAGACAGTGACATATCGGTACTAAAACCGGTACTACCAAAAAGATACCGGTATCGATCAAGTGAGGTGAGGGTGGTCTAAAATCTATTTCTGCAGGTCATGAGCCCAAAGGTGAGCTCGACTTTCCAGGGCATCTAAATCAGGGACATTCCCGATACACACTGAAGTACGATACCGCGCCAGCGAATATGGGTTGAATAGTTCATACTTTGCCTACAAATTTTGTCTTGGGAACATGCTTCATAAGACCAAATGGTGTAGAGTATTTTATCCAGATGACAGCGACAACAGCGCAGCGATAAGCGCCGACGGCACAACAGCAGTCAACATTATCAGCCGACATCAGGATATCCACGGCAACATTTCAACTGAATAATCTTTTATGTGTGAGCCGCATCAACAGATGCACTCCATAAGCAAGAACCAGCGATTGATTCTGCGCAGCTAGCGGATCCTGCTCACAGCTTGTCCACCTAGTAAGGAAGCTAGAAATTGGAATAACTGCTTGCCTGAACGAACTTTCGCAATTTGCATTCAAGCGCTAAACGTCATAAACGACCGGGAAATAGTGGCCATTCAATTCTTAATTTCTTAAAAGGTACCCTTTACCGTAAATACGGGTGGAGTGAGACAAATAGGTGAAATGCAACACGGCATTTCAGTATTGTTGACCCCCTCCCCCTCTCACGCATCCCGTGGGCCGTAGGGAGCATGTCGGAACCCGCTAATGATGGTCTCAAGATTGACGAGCCTTTACAACAATCAGTGGCAGCATGCTGCGACGCTATTTTGGAGTTTTAGGAAACGGATGATTTACATGATAACTCACGTAAAGATTTATACGATACAAATGTTAACTTAGTGTTAGTAGCAAGTTAAATAACATACATACAGTAGTACGTACTCAATGATTGACTTGAATGAGTGCACCATACTGACGTCCATGGGCTAATTCAGACCGGTTGTATCCAGCGGAATGTAAAGAGTATGACATTGATTCTCCAAGTCATCTTTAATATCTTGCATTTTATCGGCCTTCAAACTGTCCAACACGAACACTCTACTTGTGGAGCCCATTTCTAGTAACATAAAACAATGAAACTATTTTAGCCAATAAATAATACCAAAACAAAACAATTAAGGTAAATGGTCAATTAGGGCCCGCTGACCAGTTAAGGGCCGTCACCATTTATAGCCAATCTTATTGTAGTTAGCATTCTAAGAAATATGAGTGGACATTTATCTGGTTGGCCAAGAACCTGTGAGGACTAATTCTTTTTGTGGCGGGAACAGAGATGTTGGCGCCATTTCCAATATCTCCATGCCCAAGTTCCCTGTAGAAGTGAAGAAAGCCGCGGTGGCCCAAGTGCAAGAAGGACGGACAGTCTCTGGTGTTGCTGCCTCTTTAGTCATTATAGCAAGGACAATTCGGAAGTGGGTAACAGCTGCAAGCAATGGTGACTCGCTAGACCACGCCAGGCGGGGACCAAAGCCTGTGCTTCCCGAGGAGGCTGAAAGGCACATACATGACTGGATAATCGGTCGCCAGCTCGTTGGGTTTTCTGTTGACCGTGGCCAGATCTTGCGCAAGGCGAGAGAGATAGCGCTACTTGTATGCGGCCAAAAGGTTGGTGATGGATGGTACCGCCGATTTCTAGAGCGGAATCCTGCGTTGGCATCTCGAACAGCTCAATCGCTGACAATGAAGCGCAACAATGTATCTGACGATGATATAACCACTCTGTTCTATAATCTTGCTTAATTAGTGATCGAGTTAAATCTGCAGTGAAAACTCCAAGTGCTGCAGGTGTAAGTCTACAGGATATTGTAGAATCGGGTATTGTATATAGCAAAGAACAATGTTAGTACAGGGCTTGGCAACCATTAAGTGCAAGAAAGACTTACCATTTAGTGCGGAGAATTAACGGACCCGAGTGGACTCGAGCCCGCGACAACACCTGCTCCCCGTAGGGCCCTCAATAAGCCAGCCGCTTTAACGACTTGAGCTGTCAGCACTAAATGAAATGGCCAATCACTGCTTTGATTAATTGCTACATTAATCCTTCATTCTCATATATCCCTTTTGACTTTATGCTATTTTCATAGTATAATAATTTGCAGTGAAACTAGCCCTCTCTCTAGCAAATTTTTGTTGAGCCTTCGCTTGCTGACACTCATACAAACAAGAAGCTTAAATGCGGCCCTTAACTGGCAATAAGCTAAAATCAATGTGTTGTTAAGTAAAAGGCTCCATTACGTTGTTTTCATTGGTCTGCTCAATAACAAAAATACGTGTTGAAAGCTGAGATCTCCAGCTGTAAGCACCTGTCACTCTTTATTTATCCGGATACATAGAATCGAAGAAATGGTCACTATGCGGTAGTGGGCGGGAAACGGCCCTTAATTGACCATTTACCTCGTCAATCCATGTCATCATACTGTCGTGATCTGTCCACG